TTAAAAATAAAAAAAGAAATTTTTTTATTTTCAATTTTAAAAATATACTTTATAATATTAATTTTCAAATTCTTTCAATATTAAAATATATTAAAAAATATATAATCTCTTTTTGTTGTTTTATCTCTTTTAATTGTTTTTTTCATTTTTGAATTTTTTTTTAATTTTTTTTTTGTTTTAACAAATTCCCATTATTTCTATTCTTTTTATATCTTCATTTTATTTATAGCTGATAGCTTCTATATTTATATCTTGTTTCCCGTTGGAATCGTTTTCATCACAAAAAAGGATAGAAAGCTGTGATGCGATTTACAACCAAGTTTAAAACTTTCGGATGTGTATCGCTTTCACACTTGCCTTTAAAGATTGTTATTATAACCTTCAAAAAAAGAGTCTAACACTCATTATTTTTTCAGGCTCTTTGCATCGAAAATTAGATGCAAATTAGAGTCAGAAGAGATTATCTTATATTACATAAGATATGCATTAAAAATCATGTTTATTTTTATATAAAAAAAATTCAAACTTTTTTTCTGAACGATAATAGAAATAAAGTGATCTTTGGGAAAGATTTCTTGATTTCCAAGGTGATTCAATACAAAAGCAAAAAGAAAAGAAAAAAACTATCTGACGAATCCTCATATAGAAAAAATACTCGTGGATTTGAAAAGAAGCTAATTAACTTTTGATTATTGGAATTGGAAAAGAAAAAAAATTAACATAAGATTATTTTCTATTATTATAAAATGTTCTTAGACTGTCATGTCTTAGTAAAAAAAAAATATAAATATGAAGATAAAATTCTATGACATAAGAAAGATTCAGTGATGAGCAGAAAAAAATAATTAATAAAGAGAATTCATTTTCGAATTTGTCATCATTTCCAGGTGCTTTAACGAGAATTTTTTTATTTAAAATAAACTTCTCATTTATATGGCTTTAGATTGTTTTAAGTAATTAGATTGTTATGAGTAAAATAATTTTAACGATGATATTATCGATCTATGATCATTGATGATTTTTCATTTATTTTCCATCCTTGAGAAGCCATCATTAAATATCTCATATTATGTGACATTAATTTATTCCGGTTACTTATTTAAAAAAGAATATTTTGAAGTTTTTCATTTATAAAATTAATTTAATTTTGTTCTTGAAATTTATTATATCATTTTCTTATGGATTTTGATTAAATATTATAGTAGTGAAGATTGTGAATAATTTTTTTTATATGTATAAATGATGATCGATCGATGATATAATAAAAATCATTAAATCCAGTAGCATTATACATCGATAAATTAAATTATTATATATTTTATATATTATAAGAGAACTATAAGAATACTATAAAAAATTTTATTTTTTAATAATTCTATTTTCCAAATAACTTTTCATACAACACTTCACTTTATTATTTATTTATTATATTTATTTTATGTCTCATTTTATTATGAATCTTTTGTTATCTAATTACACATATATTTTTAGCGAATTGTAGCAAGGAACAAACTTTTCTCATATGATACAGTTTGTAGCAGCGTAAGAAATTACGAAATAACTAAGCTGATTGCCCAAGATGTTCTGTGTCCGGGAGTTTCTCTTTGTTCCACTTGCTGACTTCAGGATAATCAGCTATCCTTGCCTTTATACATATATACATATGTATATACGTTCTTATTTCAAGTTGTAATTATACGATTTTTTTCTACCGTATTCTGTGTTGCCAATTCATTTAGATTGGATTATGTTTTTCTTCGTGAAATTTCATGTAACAACCGTATAATTCCAATAATCATTGTTTCTTTAACATATTAACATCTTGTAATTATCTTTAATAATCATTTTTAATTTTAATTTATTCAATATTAATTTATGAAATATTAAATAATCAATATATTATATCTTGTATTAAATTATAGTATCTTATATTGGAATTTTTGAATGATTTATTATATTATAAAAATAGGAATGAATATTGTTATTAAAAAATAAATTTAATGACGCCTACGTGCTTTCATTTTATCAATGATAGCAGACATCAATCATGATGAATTTTTAAATGCATGATATCGATCAATATTGTTATTAAAAATAATTATAGCTTAAAACATAAAAGGTCATAGACGGAGGATCAATCAGGTATTCTTAATGGAAAGCTAATCACTAAACCGTAAGTTGTGCATATTATAAACTTCAAGCTATATCTTATTTGTGCTCTTGATCACTTGATGAATATTTTAAATTTTCTATCAATGAAATGACATTTACCATGAGAATCTGACATATAACATTATCACGGGATCATTGAATTATTATTCAGATATAAAATCGGTGATAAAAATAATTATAGAAATTTTTAAAAACACTGAGGTGTCTTTAAAGGTCAATTATAAAGGATTATTATTGATGATTAATTATCGATCTAATCAATGACCTTTGCATTATTTAAATTTAAATTTTTTTATAGTGCAAAGAATTACATATAGTGAAATAAATAATCCATTTAACTTATTTATTTTCTTCTTTTAAAGTCTTTAAAAAGTTAATTTTGAAAGTAAAGCAAATTGGACCGAATTATATAGTAAAGGATCTCTTTGAATTTCCCCTAAAGCAAATTGATCTTCAATAATAGCTGGAAGTCGACGGAATGTGCGTGTACTTTTTTCAGGTCAGAGTTCATGCTCGGTTGAATTTCAAGCAGAAAGAAAAAAGAAAAGATAACTATCTATGCATCGAACAACATAAAAACTTAAATTTCAGCAACAATTAATAACTTCTAATAACTTTTCATATTTAAAATGTTTCAAATGCAGTTTATGTTTAAATATTATAATAATCTTAAAATAATGCAATAATGATAAAAATAACTATAAAAATAATTAATCGAAATGTGTGATCGTTATAATTGAATAATTATTAATTAATAATGTAAATATTTCAGAATTATTTAAAAGATTCTTATAAAGTTATTAATCAATTAAAATTGTAAAGACATATTTTTAATAATTCTGTTATTTTTATAGAGAGAAATGAAAAAAGTTTTTCGTTTTGTCTGGATTCAGCATTTCTGGATTCAACATTAAAGTCAACTTCCTATTCCATTCGATTATTCCCGCCAAGAATTCTTGTTCTATTTCACACGAGTGACAGACAGCATCAAGAGATATATTAAGGTCAAACGGAAACGGATATTAGAAAATATAAGAATTGAGATTTCCGCATCACAACGATGATCAATAGTTTCAAACTCTCAAAAACTCTCGAATCGATAAAGCGACATCATTCAAGCGACCTCGATTTCATCAAGGATAAGGTCTCGAAGTAGATTCCAGGAGAACTTTAGATTACTTTCGCCATTTTAAATGCGTTCAAATTTCTAATAAGATATTCCACCGTTTTGTATTCAACGTGATTGACGCCGACAGAGAAATTCATGGGAACAACATGAACTCATATTGCTCTTGCTACAAATCACGATTTCGTGATTATCTGGTAAGTTTAAACACTATTCGAGTATGTGTTTTATTATTTATTGTGTTTTTTTTATTATTATTAGTTTTTAATTAATGTTTATATAAGATAATACTTATAAATGCTTTATATAAGATAAAATAGATAAAAATTTATTTTGCAAAAAATTTGAACTTTAGAAATTTGAAGCTTAAAAACTTAGAAACTGAGGATTTGATAATATAATAGTTTAACAATTTAAGAATTTTTAATTTAAATATTTGAAAATTTTTAATTTTTAATTTAAATAACTTAGAATTTAATTTGAAATTTAAAAATTTAAAAACCAAATGCTTAAAAAAATCTCAAAATTTGGAATTTCCTTGTTTAACATATAAATTTTTTTTAACAGAAAAGTACATTAATTAATTTGATATTCCTTAAATATGATTACATAACTAGGAAGATAAATTATCCGTTAATCAATTTATTAATGAGAATTAATTGAATGATTCATAAAATAAGAATTAAAATTGCATAATTTCAATAACTAATTCATTGAACCTTGACACAATATATGCATGTGGTTTTGCTTTCCAGGTGTAACAAGGTGCATGTATATTTAATAAGGTAAGAATCGTGGCGCGCCGTTAGAACCAGACACTTGCTGATGTCATCTATTCAAATATTCGAATGATAGTAATGGCTAAGGGAATAAATAATATATATGTGTGTATAAAAGATATATCAAATATTTTTATAAATATTCACAATATCTATTTATAAATTAAGAGAATTATTATTTTAATCTAAATTTTAAACAAATAAAAAATTCTTCAATATAAAATTTATTACACTCACCGGAAATATTTTTTGGACTTAAATTCTTTTAAAAGAAAGAAATATTTTCAATCTTGAAATGATTTTACAATCACTATCAAAATTTACAAACGTAAATACGAATCGATTCAGAATAGCCACTTACACGTAATCCAATTTGATTGCGAGCGTACAAGGGCTCGTTTGAGACTGGAGAATGCAGCGAACAGCACGTCAATGAAAGAACGGCATTACCACCGCTCTCTCATTCGACCATCTCCTGCACGTGCGCGTGCAACACGCACGCGTACACACTGTTCGTAAATGTGGATAGAGTTGCTAAAGTGCGTAGAGTTTGCTAGTTTGTCCTTTTTCCAGACTCTTTTCAACATGATATAAAAGTATCGATTCGGCTAAATTTTTTAGTATTTTTGTGGAAACTAAATTTTCGTTTTGATTCTTACAAAATAAATTTTTAAATTATAATTAATGACTGATATTAATTTAGAATTTTATTGATAATAATGGAAATTTTGTACGATATATATTGGTAAATTTTATATATGATAAGTTTATGATAGATTCTTAAATTAAATTTTATTTTATTATACAAAATAGCAATTTTCAATTTTATAATTAATTATAAAATATAAAATAATAATAATTATATTATCTTAATTTTTATATACATATATACATTCAATGTAAAATAAATAGAAATAGATCAATTTTAAGACGATTTTATTACACACAACAAAATGGAAGAAAAATTGACAATCATTACATAAGAAGTATAATACATGATTGCAAAAAACTTGTTTATTCTAGCGTTACATATGTCTCGTAAGTTGCCAAGTTCACAAAAATGACTAGTCATCTATTAAATGTCGCTTTTTGTAATTGGCGAATCGTCTGAAACAGAATTATTTTATTAAAAATTCGATGATTGTTACATAAAAAATTTTTTTCCATAGAGAAAAATCCTGATTTGTTTCTTTTACATTTTATGTTTGTATTTATTTTTCATTGTATTAATTTTTTTTTTTTTTTTTGCGTAATATTATACTGTGATAGTTAAGAAAATTTTATAGAGATTTTTTTTGTAAGGATTTATATGATTTCTATTTTAATAATATATAATATATAATATACATATATATAATTTTTTGTTTTATAATATAATTTTTTTGTAAAAATTAATAATGAATAACATTTTTTGTAAAAATTTACATTAATATTATAAAATTTTGTCGTAGATTAAAAGAACAATATAAATAAAACATACTCTTTTTGCATCCTCCAAGCTAACAGGAATATATTTTGAATTCACTGTCTGGGCTAGATTGCTGTAGTTCCTATAAAGAATGTATTGATCTTTCAGCCATTGCCTTATCGTTAATATTCTCTTCTGTAACTCAGCAACTTCATCTTTGGTATTGTACTTTGTATTTTCTATGTCTATTATTTAAAAAATTATCATTTATCATATATCAAAAAAATCTATATTTCATCATAGTCATAGTAACTTTATTTAAATTTATAAATTAATATAATTCAAAAATTGATTAATTTTAAAAAAAAATATAAATAATTTTAATTAAAAATAAAAACACGAAAAAGAAAAATAATTTACCAGGCTTGATAAATGCTGCAATTTTTGGAAACTCCAATGGTTTAAAAATAGGTAATTGAAATATCATAGAATCATTTGGATCAAATTCTAATCGCGTATGTTCTAATTTCAATAAGTAATTACGGATATCTTCACGTTCTTGTTGCAATTTTAAAATTGCTGCATATTTTTTTTAAACGATGTGTTTGTTTGCAATCGAATCTTGAATGCTTTTCTTCAATTTTGCTATAATTTGATGATTTTCGACTTCTTGATGACTTCGAAATCTTTTTGTTTTTAGTTTTTTTCTGTTTAATTTTTTCTTCGTGATTATATTCTTTGAACTATAAAGATTTTTTAAAAAATTTACGACGATACATCAAAAAAATATAAAAATATTAAGATATATTCTTAAAAAAATTTACCGTTTTAATATTTTCTAAAGATGAAGCATCACTGTCATCATCTATGTTACTACTTATATTTGTAGGAGCAAGCTTCACTATCGTTTTACAATTTTTACAATGTATAGGTTTGTCTGAAACTTCTAATGGTATTTGAATCCTGTTTCTTCTAACTATGGCATTAATTGCATCCTTATTCAATTTTCGTAAAGTACTGGTTACATCTGATTGTTTTGGAATCTCTCTTAAAAATTTATCTTCTCTGAAAATCATTTCCGAATCTCTATTTTCTATATTAATATTTAATTTTTTTTCTTCTATTTCATCAATGTTTTCTTCCTTGTTTTGCTCATTCAATAAGAAAATTTTCTTTTTTTCACTTTTTATACTTTTTCTATAACAATGAAAACAAATTTGTAAAAAATATTTTATTTTTCTATTTTTACGTAAAATAAAAATTTCGGTTAACAATTGCTTCTTACATAGACGTTATAGATTCTTTTCCTCCTACATTAGTTTCTATGCTGTTTTCTTTACATTCCAATTTATCATATTCAGAAGCCACGGAAGAGTCAGTTTTCTCCTCTGCAATTTCATTGGATAACTTCCTATACTTTTTCCTTTTGAAGTGCTTTTTCATCGGTGTTATTTGTTTAGATAGCTTTAGAAGATTAATAGGCACTGCTTCGTCAACATTTTCTGTCGTTCTTACATAATTCGATAGCTCCTCATCAAGGCCGATATCACACTCGCTATTGCTCTGCATTATTTTTGGCGGAACTATTTCCACGATTTCTCTGTCTCTAAAAATGAGTATAATTTCGATTTCTTCAATTTTACTTTTTCTTATTTGATCATATCTCGTAAACAAAAAAGAAAAAAGCGAAGAAAATGAAATATTGAAATCTTAATATATATACAACAATTTAACAACCTGTCTTCATTGACCGTTTTCGGAATAATTTTTGTTTGTTTGTGTGGAGTAATCTTGATTTGTTTTACCCCAGAAATTACAGTATCCTCTTCTAAAGTATCCTTTAGTCTTTCTTCTATAGAACTGGATGATTCAACAGAACTTGAAGCTTCTTCAAAAGTATCATCTTCGTAATGTATCTTTCGTTCCTCTCTAGAAGAAACTTTTTCTATAGAAATATTTTTATCCATTATATGTGATAATTCGGTTGTGATTTCGCTTTTTTCTTCACTTATTCTGATAACTTCCTCTATTGTCGTTTCGTTATCATCGATATTAGATATCGAAACGTTACCTTCGATCATTATCATTCTAGATATATTCGATTTCTCATCACTTTTTCTAGATGAAATCTCGTTCACAGATTTAATAGTTTCTGAAATTATTTCAGAAACATCTGATCGTTTAGAAAGTACTGTAGCAACAGAAGAATCATCACTGTTTCGTGAGGAATCCCCAGATCCTAGCATAGGAATTTTAACCTTGACTTCAGAAATAGTTTGCAAAGTTAAAATATTCTTTGGAGATACTTTTGTCTTTGAAATATCTTTTTCCTCTCCAATTTCAATATTTTTATTTTCAATTATGGATTTTGTTTCAGGAGACATCATAAATGACTTTTTCAAGGTTAGGCTATCAGTGACTGAAGATTCATCACCTTTTTCATGATTAATTGAAATCTCAATCTCCATTTTGGATTTAGGAGATGCCTATAGAAGTATTAAATAAATAAATAAAATAAGCATTATTTGAAAATTAAAAATTATAAAAGAATTATTTTAATTTTTTGAGAGAAATATTAATAAATAATTTTAAAAATAATTCTATTCTTTTTAATAATTTTTAATTAAATCTATCTTATGTGACCTTGAAGATTTTCATTAATCATTTTAAATAATATCTCAAATTATAATCAAACCTTAGATTTTATTTCTTTTTCTGCAAGTATAATTGGTAAAATTGGATCTTCTGATTTATATTTATTATTTAAAGACTTAGAATTAACTTGCAGGATCCTTGGAGAGCCTTCCGGAGAACTTTCAGTACTAATACTATTGTGAACTCGTTTACCCTCATTGCGTTTTATATTATACTTCCTATCCATTTCCTTCAATCTCAACAACGCAGCTGTTGCTTTTGAATGCAACATTTTTTCCTTTTTTTAATTTTTTCTATTTTCTTCTAGATCCATCCGCAGAGGAGGACTCCTCTGGTCTGACTGGACTTAACTGGCTTCACTTGTAAATTTTGTGACAGGTCGACCAAAAAGTAATATGTCTACTAAAAGTCGTTGTCAAGGAAACAGATTTGTATACAATATGCTCTGAAACTTGATATGCCTCATGAAGATATTCATCTCTATTAAGATACAATAAGTGGTTGCATCAACAAAAATACGAAACGTTGGATAAGTATTTATAATAAATGAAAAGTTTAATTTCGTACATGGACAAAACAATCAAATTATAAAAATATATCTGATGAAAAAAAAGAGATTGAATTTTACAACAAGACGTGAAATTTTGAACAATACTTGGTTACATAATTTTCAAATATTATTATATATGATAAGCTACTTGTTATTTAATGATTTGCTTTATAGTTTAATTATACAAGTGTTTGCAAATACTGGAAACTGAGGAATATTGAATTAGGTATATATATTATTTTATATTATTTAAATATAATATAAAAATAATAAATATAATTATTTTTTAATTTATTATACAATTTCTATATATGATAATTTTAACCTATCTTTATATTATATATTATTAATACAAGATAATTCTAAATAATTTTATTTTATATACTTAAAAGAAATCAATAATTAAAAACAGATAATTAAATTTAGTTTTATTTAAATATCCCTCCAATCAATGGTCATCAAGAAATTAACCAATAAGAATTCCGTTAAATTATTATTGTCAATTTTATACCATATCAACAATAGATAAAATGAGGTAATTGCTGACGTGAGGTTATGTGCGTATGGTATGGCTAAAGCTGCCACGGCGCGGCGCTTTGTTGGTTGAGCGTGGTCAGCTCTGATTGGCGACTGCATGTTAGCCAATGAGCACCCTCCATCTGTCTACCTTAGCGGCCACTAACTCACCAACCACATCCACGAATCGAGCATTATCGGCTAGTTCGTCGTAGAGTAAGCATCATCGTCGATTGGACTTTTGTCGTCCCGGCGTTTGAAAATGCGATTTTTCTGCTCATTTTTGCTTCTGTTGGCGGTTACAGTCGCCACAGCAGAGATCTACTTTGAAGAAAAATTTCTTGATGGTAAGTAAACATTTTGAAATATTTCCGATCGTAATTTCACTTTCAATTCCCTCACTCCATTTCGAAATCATCTATTTCGGATCAAACAGAATTCAGAACAATTTATAGGATTTTTCTGTCAATTTTTTGTGTAAAAACCACACCCAAGTCATTAATTGAGATAATTCTCAATGAGTTAATTGTGAAGTACTTTCCAGAAAATCTGATAATAGATTCTAGGGGAGATCGAATAGTGTATTTCTCCTTGGTAACCACACGCCCTTGCCTCGATCGTTTCCGCAATGCTGTGCATCCATGTATACGAATTTGTGTATAATTAATATTCAATTTTATGATCGAGCGCTGGAATTGTTTATGATGCCATATGCTGTTGAAGAAATCGAAGTTAATGCGAACGTGGCATGAGAACCATCATCTCGTGGCAAAGGCCATAAGCATACGGTTTGCGTTTCGCCGACATGACGCGCAATCGATTGGTTGATCTGTAGTGAATACTTCGAGAAATAAAGTTGTCTATGTTTCGAAAATATGTTAAACTATATATTGCGATTGATTCAATTCAAAATATAGATTCGATTAAAATTAGAACTTTTTTATAGAATAATTGAAAAAATATTGATTTTAATTTTAATATTTGAGATAAATAACTTTCCGAGTATTCTAAATTTCTACAAGTTAAAATTTACATAATTAAAATTTTTTTATCATTTATTTTAAAAAAAAATTTTTTTAATTTTTTTAAAAGAAATATAGAAGATTAATTATTATTATAAAATTATTTATAAAAAAGTACGCTATGATTATATTCTTATGATTATATCTGATTATATCTGAATGATTTTTTACAGATTCCTGGGAAAAAAATTGGGTGTATTCTGAACATCCTGGAAAAGAATTTGGAAAGTTCATTTTAGGTCATGGAAAATTCTGGAATGATCCAGAAAATGATAAAGGTAGTAACAAGCAGAAACTTGTTGCACAATTAATAAACTCACATAAAAATTATTTATATTATTAAAAGTATTGAAAATAATTGTAATTTAACATAATTTACTAAATTTTATTTTTATTTATATTATAATTTTTCTATCTAATTATATTTATTTATTTAAAACAGGTATCCAAACATCTCAAGATGCAAGATTTTATGCCTTAAGTAGAAAATTCAAACCATTCAATAACAAAGACAAAACACTTGTCATTCAATTTACTGTTAAACACGAACAGAATATTGATTGTGGTGGTGGATATGTTAAAATATTTGACTGTTCTTTGGATCAAAAAGATATGCATGGTGACAGTCCATATCAAATTATGTTTGGTAAGAATAATTATATTAAACAAATATTTAAAATCCGAGCCTAGAGTCATTGGTTATATCTTGATAATTATATACTAGTGCTAATGGATCTCGGAGAATAAATTCTTACTTATGCCCTGATTATAGTAATTATACATATTTCAGGCACCAGTTAAGATACATTTATACTTTATTAATTACATATTGAAAATTACATAATGAAATTAATTACATAATAAAATTGATTTAACAAATGTATTAAAAGAATTTTTAAATATTTTTTTGTCTTTAGAAAAATATATAACTTGATATGTTTTTATTCAGAAATTCAAAAAACATTTCAAAAAACATGATTTTTGCTAAATATGTGTTTTTCCACAGGACCTGATATTTGTGGACCAGGAACAAAGAAAGTTCATGTGATCTTCAGTTATAAAGGAAAGAACCTTCTGATTAATAAGGATATTCGCTGTAAAGATGACATTTATACTCACTTGTATACTTTGATTGTTAAACCTGATAATACATATAAGGTAAAAAAAGTAAAAAATAAAAATACAATGAAATTATGAAATATATCGAATTACATGTTCTCATTAATGTATTATAGTGAATAGGTATTTGAGGATCTTGAAGAGTAATAATTATCTTGCTTATAAAATGTATATATAAAAAATCACATTATTTTCTTAAAATAGCAAAGAACGACATTTCACAATTCATTTAAAACTTAATAATTTCTGAAAATTTTATTTAAATTTTCATATTGATTTTCTAGGTTCTAATTGACAATGAAGAAGTGGAATCTGGTGAATTAGAAGCAGATTGGGATTTCCTTCCACCAAAAAAATTAAGATCCATCTCAGAGCAAACCTGAAGATTGGGATGACAAACCTACCATTCCTGATCCTGATGACCAGAAGCCAGAAGATTGGGATAAACCTGAACATATTCCTGATCCTGAAGCTACTAAACCTGAAGATTGGGATGATGAAATGGATGGAGAATGGGAAGCTCCAATGATTGATAATCCTGAATATAAAGTTAGCTATATATAATTTAAACAAATTAAATTAATTGATTAATTAAATTGATTAAATATTTATTTTAATTGTAATTAATATTTAATTTAATTTCTTTATATTAAGGGTGAATGGAAACCAAAACAAATTGATAATCCTAACTATAAAGGACCATGGATTCATCCAGAAATTGATAATCCTGAATACACACCTGATTCAGAATTATATAAGAGAGATGAAATTTGCGCTATTGGTTTTGATTTGTGGCAAGTGAGATCTGGAACAATTTTTGATAATGTTCTCATCACAGATGATCCTGAAGTTGCTCGTAAATTTGGCGAAGAAGTTTGGAAACCTACTTTAGTAAGTAACAAAAAAAAAAAGAGATTGTGATCAAATATTAGCAGAAATAATATAATGATGTCAAAGGCGTTGCTGATTCTAATGAATGATAAAAAGCTGGAATTCCTCGTTGCTGAAGTAACATAGCTATTGCCGTGTTTTTGAATATAAAATAACATAAATTTATTTTATGATTTTTTTATGTGTTTTAGGAAGGTGAGAAAAAGATGAAAGAAACTCAAGATGAGGAAGAAAGAAAACAAAGACAAAAGGAAAGCAAAGAAAATGAAGATAATAAAGATGATGATGAAGATGAAGATGCAGATGAAGAGGAAAATAACATCCCTGATACTGAAGTAAGATCTATTTAAAAAATATTAATAGCAATTTGTTCGAATCTATGATGATATTATTTAGCTCTGATTTAAATTGATTAATAAAATGGCTGGAATTCCTCGTTACTGAGAATGATATTAAATAATTCCTCATCTTTTTAAATTTTAAATGCATTATTAATACTTTTTTGTTTTTTTTTTTTCAGGAACATGATGAATTGTAAATAATGTGTCGATACGAACACAGACTGTATTCCAGGAGCTGTGTAACCGCGATACGCACTAACTTTCCATGAAAAACACAAAAAATTATAATAATGAAAAAAAAAGAAAAACTAATCATTATTAGAAAATCAACAGATTCCTTTAAATTAAATAAGTCAAAAAAAAAAAGATAATTACAAAATTTATAAAAAATTTTTATTTCAGTGAATTTTTCGGAGTTTCTTCACCTTTTTTTTTATTTTTCTTTTATATTTGAAATATGGCCTCATTTTCATAGCCTAAACTTTTTAATCTAATCTTCGATCATTCGATCGTGTTCCATGAAATTCATCAGTGAAAGGTTACATCATAAACATTAAGTGTCCAAAAAGAAGTCAAAGTGCTCATTATGTGCTATCAAAATACGTTATGTGAACGTAATTATATGCATGGAATTATATGCTGTATGGCATATATGTATTATAGAGTCATCTTGCCCCGTGTCCCTCCCATGGCACAGCTCCAGAAAAAGACTCTAAGTTGTTCCGTTTTTGTTTGTCAAGTGTTTTTATATACAATTGAAAGATAATTGAGATGTAATTTAATGCTATATTATATATATATAAATATATATATTATATATTATTTCGATTTCCGTACAGTGTACGCGCGTATTAAAAAGCTCGCTCCAGTTAAAATGTAAGAATGATCGGATGTGTGCAGACATGACTGAATGAAATATAAATATAAATACGATTGGTATGATTATGTATTAATAAATACAAAACCAAGTAACCAATGTAATAAAATAAATAAGTCTTTTCTAGACATGCTCAGGCTGTTTATTTTCGCCTTTTGATTATATATAATATAGCTTGATAATAATAATTCAAACAAATAGTTTAATGCATATCTCAAATATTATCACAATTGTTAAATAACAAAATTTCATAGTATGTATAATATACAAATTATATTAATATGGAAATGCAAAAATTTATATATTCTTTCATTATTATCTCGTATCTACATTTCTACAAAAAAGAACAATAAATAAATTTTACGATACCGTTGGTATCGTATACAATGTTTCATGTGCACCTAACTGTTGAGTTAACCAATCTAAACCTTGTGTAGAACCACAATCATTTGTGATTAAAGATGAACCTTGTATGTGCCATGCTCTACCACAACATAATTTTTGCAAACATAAAATTTCAGTTAATTCTTCGACACTGGCGCAACCACTGACATCCTATAAAATAAAAAAAATAATAATAAGAAAAAAAACTATAGATTATAAAAACTAAAAAAAAAAAATAATTAGAAAAATTGATAAGATTAATGGATTATTATTTGAGTAATACATAAATATATAAATATAAATAATTTTGTCTTACCTGTTTATTAGCATATATGAGAAATAAAGCATCTTTCAATTCACGTTCATTTACAATTTTTGATAATTCATTTTGCGCTTCTTTAAATCTAGATCTATCACTAGCATCAACAACAAAAATAACAGCCTGTGTATTATGATAGTAATGTTTCCATAATGGCCTGAATTTTTGCTGTCCACCAACATCCCATAAAGTAAATACTAGATTTTTGTACTCTAAATTTTCCACATTGAAGCCAATTGTAGGGATTGGCGGTCCTGAAAGCGTGATGCCTCTCATGGCTGATAGAATGCTTGTTTTTCCAGCACCATCCAATCCCAAGATTACAACACGCATATCAATTTTTGTACCAATATGTACTCTATTGTCCTATAAATAAAATTATATGCATTGTGAATTATTTTTTATATTTTTTATATTTAAAATTTATTATTTAATATTAAAAATTTGTGTTGAATATTTCTATATTTTATCTTTCAAATCAGAAAATTATATTGATAATATAAATTTCTGATTTTTAAATTTAATGATAGAAACATACCGACTGAATATTATGGGTATAGAAGATTCTGGTGTGAGAAAATCAGGATCAAGTTGAGCATAATGTTGTTGTTGTTGTTCCAACGTAGTTAACACTTCTTTAACTTTTATTGCACTACTTAATAGTTTCCAATCTTCAGAATCTAAAATGCTTTCACATTGAATGCACACATCAGCTACTTGAGATCTTGTAGTAGTTAAATCTTGTTGTTGTTGTCTCAGAGCACACAATCTCTCACGTGTTTCTGTTTCAACACAGGATATAGCCGCATTTTCTTGATCAGCTAAAAGAGCTCTTAATTCCTCAAAGTGTTGACGTACTCTTTGTCTTGCATCTTCTATGGTCCATCCTTCTAACTCTTGTATCACTGTTTCTAATGATAATAATGATGATTTATATGGATTTAATAATTTTATCTTTAACATCGAATTATATTTTTTAATAAGAATTAAAATATAAAAATAATTATACCAATTCTATTTGCTGTATCTCTCATGCTCTCCATAAATTGAGTCATTTTCTGTAAAGCAGTGATGATAGATTTTCTAATATTTTCTGCCTCAACTTCTACCAAAGCTAACTGTAATTAAATAAAATAGTAAAATTGATTATATTATTATAAAAATTACATTTATTACCTTATGTGTGCTATGTCTACCATAATCTTTGCATAAATAACACATAAGAGAATTGTGACAGCCTTCCTGAGTGCAAGTAAATTCTGCTACATGTGTTGTATGTACTGGACATTTAGGTTTGTCTTTTGGTTTCTCCGATAAAGGTACACGCTTATGTTTGCTTAATGTTTTTGAAGAATGAATAATACTATCACAATTTTCACATAAGTGAGTCATACAAATTGTACAATATAATACTGCAGTATGAGCTTCATCTTCATCACAAGATTGACTAGATTGAAGTCTTTCCCTTTCAAGTAACAATAGTTTTTCACTATTGGACTGTTCCAATCTTTCTAATAATTCAATCAAAGCAAAATTTTTCTTCAAATTATAAATATTATTCTGACTAATGCCTGTTGGCTGTCTATCAAAAGGACATAATAAAAACTGTTGATCAGTCATACAAGGTCTCAATCGTAAAAGACAAGAATGACATACTGTATGACCACAATGTAACAATCTTGGTACTTTTATTCCATCAATAGTAAATACTTCTTCACAGACACGGCATTCTAGTACCTAAAAATTGACATTTAAAATAAAAAATAGAATTTAAATTAGTTTTATTATATAAAAATTTAATAATAAATAATATAAAAAATATTTCAAATTAGTATAGCTTACATTTGTTCTTACAGTAGGTTTCAAAGTCTGTTTAAAATATTTGTTCAGATGATCTACGTTATTAGTCATGATAATTTTTTAATAAAAACTGAAAATATATAAAATTATTATTAGAAAAGAGAATAATATAAATTAATATAAGTAAGCAAACTTAAAATAAAATATTTTTAAATAAATTTTTATGTAATTCTTCATACTTTCATTAAATGATATTTTAGATTAATAATACGAAATTATAGTTGACATTAAAACATTGTTATATATGATAGAATAACATTTTGAGTTTAACCAAAATATTATACATTATGAAACATTTAAATCAATAATAATATTAAGAAACATTTAAGTAAATAAAAATAAATATTGTTATTTGTAGTAATTGTAATGTAATTTAATTTTTATAAAATAATTTAGAAGTTCAAAATATTCTTCTATACATATTCAAATACACTGCATCATAGGTTTTATTATTTAGTTATATAATGAAAAATGATTATTTTACACATTATTTTACATTCAAAAAGGTAATAAGTTTCATTTTATTTCATTTTATTTTATTTTATTATTGATACTATATTATTGATTATTATATATCAATGAGTTGAATCACGAAAAATGTATATAAATTGCAAAACAAATAGATATTGCGATTTTAGTTATTGGCTAATGACATATTTATATAAAAATCAATATATTATTATATTATGTATATCATTATTTATCGTCATAAATATAAATGTAATTTTATATTAATTCAACATCAAATAATTCCATAAATAAATTAATATAAAAGTAAGTATCTTTTTATTTTATATTTTCGAATTATAAATCAACTTTTATTTCCCTATATATTAAACACTTAATTTTATTTACGTATGCATTTCTATATATTGTATATATAGAGTCATTTAATATTGTTATATCTAAAAATCTATTTTATAAAATTATAAATTTTATAAAGTCTCTAAATGATGTAAAAATATATTGAATAATAAGTTTATATTTGTATAATATATAATTTATAATATAACATTTATAAAATCACGAGAAACTAGTAATTTCTAGTAACTTTATTGTCTTTGAATAAAAGTCTGATAACTGATTTACTATTACTCTGACTGTACTTGAACTTGTTTGAAGCAGACGATTCATCGCCATTTTGTCAAAAAAGCTAGACGTAACAAACAATACGAAATTATAAAAATGTCAGCTCTAAGAACAGTTTTACGAAATTTTATAAGATCTTTCAAAACTACTACTGTAAGAAAAAGTGAAGATCATGGACCGGAAGGTTTTCCTGGTGCTGTAAGTAAAAATATTTTATTATATAATGCGTATCATGCGTAATGTACTACTAATATTTAATTTAACATTTTCTAATAAAAAATAAAAATAAGAGGCACATAAATTCTAGGTCAATAAATTTCTAGATAAAATTGAAATTATAATTGCATTCTTATTTAACATTTCATATTCTTATTTTTATTGATTAAATTAATATAATGTAATATTATTGTTTATCTTTATTATTGATTAAAATCAATCTAAAAATTTTATTATTACAGAATCTTCCAATAAATATCCAAAATAGATATGTGTTAACTGCAACTTTCATTCTTTTCTTCGGAAGTGGATTATCTCTTCCTTTCTTAGTTCTTCGTTATCACTTGCTGAAATAATATGTAAGAGTTTTATTAATGTAATTAATATTAAATACAATTTATATTTAGATTTATTATAATTATTATCTTTCAGGTATTGGAATATTAATATTAGTAAACTAATCTAATACTGTTGCAAAAAATATAATATGTAACATATATTTATAATAAAATATAATAAAAAAAAATTTTATAAGTATTATTTAATAAAGTCATCTCTAGAATAATATTATCAAATATGTTTTATATTAAATTATAAATTAAAATGTTAAAAAATATCAATCATTAATTCTAATTACATAACCTATACAAATTTCTAAAATTCTTATTTGTATTATTATTTATATATATATCTTTTAAATTATTTATTAAATGTTGCGTTATTTTTAATTTTTAATACAAGTTTGTATTATTATAATAATATGTCAATAATTATTAATGTATTATTTTCATGAAAAAGAAAATATATTTTAATCAATTTAAAAGTTTTTGATTTTAATTCAACCTCTACTAGATTTAAATCATAATATAATCTAATATATAAATAATATATAATATAATTTAATATATAATAATATATAAATCGTAATATCATCTAATTAAAAATATTTTAATAGTAAATTTAATAATTTCGTTACATATGTCCAATGCAATCCAATAAAAGATTATTTAAATATTGTAATTCAAATGTTAACATTCTTATTTATTATATAATTTCACACTTTTTATTTTATTCAATAAATATTGAAATATAATTAGTATAGTAAAATATTTAGATTGAGATATATATATATACAATTCTGACCCCTTCAAATGGATTATCTTGGACCATTATCTAACAAGATATTCTCTAAGGATACGCCTACTTTCAAATCAATTTAAAAATAAATAATACCATCAATACGCAGTTTCATAAATAAAATTTTATTTTACTATTCGCATTTAATTTCATTTAAATTAACCGTGACTTTACTCATACGTGAGAATTAGCCTTCAGAAATTCCGCATACCGCAAAGAAATACTCACTTTTGAGTATATATTGTTCATATAAATCGATGTTACCATGAATTGACGCTCACTAAACCACGATACAGCAAGCACGTGCTTTGTGAAAATACAAGTTTCTGTATCTGTATATTTATAACCTAGATACATGAACAATATTTTGAGGGAATAACATTTCGATGAAGTGAAATAGAATAAATTGATTCCATAGTGGGATTGAAGTACATCCTTCTGAAACATAGTGGTTAGACGCATTTTTCGCATTACAATGTATCAGAAATTAAATTTTGAAATTGAATATCTTACTGAGCAACATCTTACCGGCTTCGAAACTTATAAAGTAAGTTTCTTATGTAGATAATTATCTTCACCTTTTTAATGATATTTTACAATTTATTTTCTATAATTAAAATTCTTATAAATTACTTCTTAAATCTAATAAAATATTTTTTAATAAGATTTTTTTAGAAATTAAGTTATAGTTGTTTTTATTATATTTTATAAAATTATGTATTAATTATTGAAGAAATTGTATTACTTATTATCATTTGAAGATTACTATTTTATTGATATATCATTATATTACTAAAATAATATTATACTACTAAAATTTTAATTATAAATATTTGTTTTAATTATTTGAATTATTTGATTTATTAATTAATAATTGTTTCATAATAAATATATAAATAATATATATTATAATTATAAAAATGTAGAGTTCATTTATACATTAAATTTGATTTTAGATTTATTTTATTTTAAGAATTATAATATTAAGGATAATTGATTTAAAAAAAGATTTAAAAATCTATGAATTTTATTATAATTAATCAATTTTTATATTTTCAGTACAGCTCAGTGGATACAAGTCCTCTTAGTGTATACATTATGCATCCATTTTGGAATAAAGTAGTTCATGTATGTTTTCTATTAAAACTTATTTTTATAATTAATTTTTTAAAATTAACTACATTGATTTAAAATTTTCTTTCAGTACTGTCCAAAATGGGTTGCTCCAAATGTATTAACTTTCTTTGGATTTCTTTTTACTGTGTTCAACTTTACATTATTTGCATTTTATGATTATTATTTATATGCATCAAGTGATGATAAATCACAATATCCCCCTATACCAAGGTGGTTTTTGCCTTAGGTGCATTCAATGTATTTATGGCATATACTCTTGGTAAGTATAATTTCATCCTTAACTTACTTATAAAATAATTATACTTAATATAACATTCATTTTGCAGATGGTATTGATGGGAAACAAGCACGACGTACACAAACATCTGGACCTTTAGGAGAATTATTTGATCACGGATTAGATAGTTGGACAACAATGTTTATTAGTGTTTGTATGTTTTCAGTCTTTGGGCGGACAGATTTTAGTGTATCACCATTAAGAATGTATTTCATCTTATGGAATGTGTTTATTAGTTTCTATTTGACTCATTGGGAAAAGTATAATACAGGAGTATTATTCCTTCCTTGGGGATATGACCTATCTATGGTAGTAAGTTTCTATTTTAAAATATTTAGTAAATTATTAATAAAATACACAAATAAAATAATATAATAATTTATGATTAAAATTAAAATTAAAACTTAAAATTTTTTAGGGTACTATTATTGTTTTTATCATATCTAGTATAGGAGGACATAGAACTTGGAAAATTGTTTTTCCTGGTGGTATACCAGTGGGAGTAATGTTTGAAATATTACTTTATGTTACTGCGATTGTATCTAGTTTACCTGTGGTTTTGTGGAATATATACAAGTCAGTGCAATTAAATTGATATTATTTGTTTTTCATTCATGATTTCTTAAAAAATATTTTCAATTTTTAGATCATATAGAGATAAAACTGGTAAAATGCGAACATTTGTAGATGCTATAAGACCTTTATTGCCTTTAGCAATACTCTTTACGATTTCAACAATTTGGGTAGTCCATTCACCTAGTAATATCATAGAGAAAGATCCCAGAATAATTTTTTTAGTAATTGGAACTATCTTTTCAAATATATGTGTAAGAGAAAGATATCAGATAATTAATACGAAATTATGATTATTAAAAATTAATGCTTTTTAAAATTTACAGTGTCGTTTAATTGTATCACAAATGAGCAATACTAGATGTGAACTATTATCATGGATATTACTACCTATAGCAATTGCAGCAGTGTTCTCGTTTATCTTACCTAACATAGACTTAGTGTTTACATATATTCTTGCCATTATAGCTTTATTAGCACATATTCATTATGGAACATGTGTGGTAAGATTTATTTTAGTATTTTAAACAAAGTATTTGATTATTAATAATAAGTTATTATTTCTTTAGGTACGTCAAATGTGTCGTCATTTCCGTATTTATACATTCCGTATTAAAGATCGTACAGACTGACTACTTGCTGACGATACATGTTAAAAACGAAGAAATATGAACAAACGGTCGAAAAGAGCTACGAACAAGTAAGTATAGAGCAGAAAGAAATTTTGAAATTACGATTAATAAGAAAAAAATGCGTTTTGATTATAAATATGCAAATACTCAACAGTAGATAGTAACAGTTCATTCAAATATGGTAATCATCACTGATCATATTCAAAAGAAGAAATACCTGTTACATAATATTAATTATTCATTTGCAGAGATAAAACAATTTAATCTTATATTATTGATATAATTACATAATAATTTTTAACGAATTTTTCTGTTCGTAACTCTGACTGTGCGTAGAATATTTATTTTTGCACATGCGAAGCTTCTAGCTTTGAATGCACATCGAATTCTTCGTTTTTAATATGTATTGTCTGAGAAATAAAATTATATATCCAACTTGCTCAATATTTTCTCCTTTTTAGAAATTTAGAGTTATTTTAACTCTAAATTTTTAAAGATCTATACAAAAATTTTTTTTATTAAAATAATTATTAAAAGAAAAAGTTTTCATAATATATGAAAACTCTGAGCAAGTTGGAATGATATACGGATGAATATAAGAAATGGATATAATGTTGGTACATCTGTAATAAGATACATAAAAGAGATTATTTATTTTGAGTAAGAATGCATGTATATGTTATATTATATAGTAATCAGTTCCCAATAATGAAATATCTTTGCAAATGTACAAAATTTCGTGTATTATAATAAAACGCGAATGATAAATCAATAAATTTTGAACTAGATTGAAGAAGTCGAGGATTAGTTAATGAAATTGACAAAAAAGTAACTTCATGTTTCTAAAATGAAATAAAAAAATTTTTAACGTGGGAAAAATATATAAAATCATAATCAGAAATGTATAATTCTTTTAACATAGAAATCCTATAATAATTAATTCTTTTTTTTTATTAATTTCGATTTATTACAATCGAAATACATATAATACAAATACATATTAATAATTTTAATTAATTTTTGAAAAATATATGCACAACGTGACGACAGTAGCAGATTTTAAAAGAATGTAAATTTCAATTATTATTTAAATTACTTTTTTATTTCTATAAATGAATTATGAATTAAAACATCAATCTAATCTAAATCAAGTAATATTTCCCACGTTTTAGAAGTAAATCATAAGTAATAATGAAAAAATTAATTTATTTAAAGTATATTAAAAGGTATATTATTATAAATTTTAATTGATTCTTTGATAATTATATTTGATTCCATTTAATGATTGCATCATAAAATTTGAAATGATTATATGAATACTCAGTTAAATTTTTTATTTGTCAATTTAATACATTATTAGTCTATTTCATATTATTAATAATCACAATTTTAGAAATACTCTGTATGGAAATATATTACATTTTATAAAAAAAAACAATTCGTATTTGTTTGAAATTTTAGATAGAATTGAATGTTAGTGGTAATAAATTTTAGTATATGTATATAAATAGTTAAAAAAAAAATTAGTGAACATGAAACAACTACGAAATGCTAAATTTTTTAACTGAAATATATTTATGAATACACTTGTATAAATAGTAATCAACAACAAAAACTGTGTAATCTATTTTAATTGAAGTATTCTTATATAACTTTACTCTTTCGATATTTAATTTTTTCTCATATGTAATAACATGTTGTTTATAAGTTTATATTGTTAATAATTCATTGAATATATGTATAATGTATTATTCCTCAAATCTTCGTTTTTGCCAAAGATAAAAGCAATTATTTTACATAAATTATATTTTGTTTATTCCTAAAAGTTATATATGTACATTTTATTTATATATTTTAATCTATTGATAATATAATTAAAAATGCAAATCACATATGTTTATTTTATTTATTTTATTGATAATTATAATTAAATATAATAA